ATTCAGCTGATTTTACACCAATGAAAACATAATTATGTGTATTATATTCCATTTCTGCCAATAGATCCTCCTAAATGTTACACGTTGGAACTTTTTTGTAAAACAGTTCAACCCACAGCAACCCCACTGACAACAGAGCGCTCAAACTAAATTGGACAGAGCCTGAAAATATACTAGATACAGAGAGTGTATGCTGTACAGATTGTAAAGCCCCTTGAGGCCACTTTGTGATTTGTGATACAAGGCAATTTAATTTGTGTTGTCATTTTACAACACAGGGTTGTATAATTAAATTCTGCTTATATATATGTAAAAATGATATACCACAAATGGTATAATAAGTCTAAGTATAATAAGTAAGTATAAAAATGTTGATATCGGGCTTTATAAATAAAATTGACTTGTCTTGACATGACTGACTTTACTGACTAGTCAGATATTTGGAGAACATTAAAGGCTTTTTCAAACAGCATCTGAAATCCCCTTCACACACCTTTCAAGCAGAACAGAGGGGGCTGCATGTTCAGACCGAAAACAGCCCTGCATTAAAACAATGCAAGGGCAAAGATTGATCTGAATGCAGCCTATCAATACAACTATAGACCTTCTAGGTCTATAGTAGGGTAGTAGTAGAGTAAACACAGGTGTTAGTAATGATACTATTTAAGGTTCTGTTTCAGGTCAAACAGGGTTAGGGTGCTGCTATTGTAGATGTTGGCTCACTGGAAAAGCTCTGCTACACTTAATGGAACAACTACAGTGAAAAAGGTCAATTGCATCTACAGCAGCCTAAATTTATGATCACGGTCATCCCTCAATCCAGCTCCTAACATTTCTTGAGCCTGAGGTTGCATCCTGTACTACTCTTTATTATTACACTCCGGATTTCTACTGATCTATAATGGTGGGGCTTCATTCTAAGGTAACAAAAAAATGATCTATATGTATTATTTGGGCTTTTATTGCCGTTAATTAATAGTGATAGCAGAAGATAGACAGGAAAGGGGGTCAGAGAGAGGGAATGACACACAGCAAAGGGCCGCAGGTCAGATTTAAACCCATGGCCACTGCAGCAAGGACTCAGCCTCAGTACATGGGGTGCCAGCTCTACCAGGTGAGCTTTCCTATTTCTTTTCAGGTGATTATACACTAAACAACACAATCCATCCAGTAATTGCAGTTTACAGTCTCCAAGTGGCACTGAGACATGTCTGACTCTTTATTAAGCCTGTGTGGTCTGTGAGGCTTCTACCAGATTTAAACTATTTCATTTTTGGCCTCCAAATTGTAGCGTTACATATCTGGAATCAAAACTACACAGACTGTGCTGTTATTGCTTTTATATTTGCCAGTTTATCTTTTGTTTTCATCTACATGACATGACATGCAGCTTGTGGTTTCACACAAGAGTGAATAATACCGAACTATAACACAGAAAGAATGGAAAGCAAAAAGTAAATTTTTCACTTGTTATTTAGGAAATGTTAAAGTGAGAAAGTAAGAAGGTGAATGTCTCACAATTGCGATACTGAGACATTTGAAGACATTGCTCTTCACCTCTGCAGCCCTACTTCCTGATTTCTGCTGAGAAGATGGCTGCAGCTTTTAGAGAAGCTTCCTGAGGTGTTACACAGGAAAACCCACCTCTATGTCCTTTAACTGCCATCACTGCATTATTTCTAACAATGCATACAAGCAGCACAATAACACATCTCACACGGCTGACTTTGCTCTGGATTGCAGTGAGCGTGATACTAAAGGGTAATGGGGACAAATGAGTCATAATCATAAATGAAAGCAGAGTGTGTGTTTTTCAACGTGTGTGTGTATGTGTGTGTGCATGCGCTCTTACAGTGTGGAAAGTGTGTTTAATCTGACATTTTGCTTTATCTGTATGATAACCAGATGTGTGCTGGTAGCTTAAAATTGATTTTCAGTTATTGAAGCGAAACAAAAATTCAGTGTACTATAATGAGGTATACATGTTGAATGTAGAGAACCAGAAAGGAAAAGAGAAACACAACCACCAAAACATCAGCCCCACTGCATCAACAACGCAACTGTTGAAATGAATATGAATGAATTGTGAGGCATCTGCAGGATCCGAGGGGGGACGGTATTAAACGGTATGTCGGATTCAGGTGGCATTTAACACATTCATTTTTTGATAATTTTTTTAATGCTCTGTCATTTTAGATGCAGGGTCAAGATCAAATTTGGTATTTGAAGGTAGCAACAGTCGCTTAGCAATAGTTTTTCAAAGGTAAAAAAATGTCTGTAGATTTGAGATTATTGATTTCTAATGCAACCTTTAGATATTTCTATTCAGTGCTTTACTAATGTACCACAGTAATGAGAGATCAAATATCTTCATTTGGGGGCTTTTCCAAGCAAATAGTAATATATGTGATATATCTATATGTTTATGATTAAATTGGCTTAAAGTCTCCATGCCACCCTCTGGCCACCCCATTAATATTTCTCCACTTCTTTTACTGGTATTGCAAGCTACAGTGCATCAACAAATTAAATTGGCCCAAAATTAAATGAAATGTTATATATATCACATAAAATATCATCACCAGGCTTTGTGCTAAGCTAGGCTAAACACTTGCTGGACCTACAGATGGGTGACAAATAAAAGGGAAACATAAACATAATGTATGATCCTTTATTTAGTGCTTTTGATGATAATGGCAGAGAGTGCTGTCTAACACATTGGTGCAAAATCTCTCATAGGTGTTGAGTTTGGTTGATATCAAGTGACTGTGATGGTCATATGATTTACATAATTCTCAACAACAACCTGTTCAGTGACCTATGGCATCCTGTAATGAGGGATCTGGATTTGAAATGTTTCTTCAACCGGTATTTATATTTTTCCTTTAATATTGTCCATCTGTATGATTGTGCTGGACACATATAGATAAAACTAATATCAGCTTTCAAAATATTGCTTTCTTTCAATATATTATGGTAGCATGATCTGTAAATTCATATGTGTTATATTAAAATGTGTTTTTTTTTCGAGAGGTGGAGTTTGTTTTCATTTATATTCTGCATGTTTTTAGGGTGTTAGACAATATTTAAAAATACATTACTGCAGTATTTTATTTTATGATATTTTATCGTTTCTCAAATTACTATTGATTTTTGTGTTTAAACCCGCAAATGCTAGATAGCAGTGGTGTACAGATACAGATTCTATGCATAAGGTGATGTGTTCTTTATACTATTAAAGTTTTCCTCAAATTAGATTTAAAAATAAGAAAATTGAAACATATTACCTAGCTTTACAGTATCACAAAATATTGCAATATACTAAATCGTAACCCCTGTATCGTGAAACGTATCACATTGCCAGAATCTTGCCAATGGACTGCTAGTTTTTATCCTTTGACCATACGTATGATAGAAAGTAAGCTCAATACCTGAGCCAGTGGAGAGCATTTACTTCATTTCTAAATGTGATCAAAATTAAATTTTATGGGAAAATAGTGAAGATTTTGCCTTTATTTTTAATATGTTATCGCTGATATTACCTGTGAACCCTCAGCACCAGTTGAAAACCAGGTTTTGGTAACACTTTATATCAAGGTACACATATTCACCATTAATGTATTGTATTAATTTATTAATTTATTAATGCCATATCTTGCAAAACCATATTCTACAACTACTAGATTACTACAACTTTTTAAGTTAATGGTATAATAGTTGAACATGTTCCACTTGGGGAATTGGGAATGGGAAACACATTCTGAGCTGGGAAAGACTTAATTTAGAGTTATTCAGACACTATTAACACTTGTAGTTTTGGTTGTTTTTACATAAGAATAGATAGAAGTATTATTCATGAACAACCACTTCCTTACTTACTATCAATAAGCAGTAATTCGGAAGTTATTGAGGGAAAACTCTTAGTAAATAGTTTTAGAATATGGTCATGCAGGATATGGCATTAATAAATGTTTTATAATGACTAGTAAAGAGCCCAAATTGCATGCTAATAGGCAGTTAGTTAACAGTGAATATGTGTACCTTATTATAAAGTGTTACTGTATTTTTTTTTCCTTGTTTCAAAAAAATAAAGATTAGAGGCAAAAAATATCTAATTCTGTATTTATTTTCACACATTTATCTTCAGGACTTCTCTCACATTCAATATCAGCATCACTTGCTTCTTTCAAATCTGAGACTTGGACTTGCTGATGATGCTGAATGCTGGATACTCCAAGTCAGATGATATGTTGCTGATATAAAACTGTATTTTAATGTATTAAATATAGATATATTGTGTGTTTAGATAGATAGATAGATAGATAGATATAGATAGATAGATAGATAGATAGAATAGATAAGAAGATAGATAAGATAGATAGATAGGCAGACAGATATTGTTTGATCTTAACTTAACTTATTTTGAATGAAACCCAGACAGAGCTTTTAGCTTTTTTGTTTTTAGATTTTTGGTGAGTGTTATATAGTCTGACAAAGTGATGTCCTTTTGCTGTTTCCTGCATTCACAAGAATTTGACGTACAGCTGAAAAATTGCAATCAAACAGATCACATTTGTAGTTCATTTAAGAAGAGCTCCATATGATAATTTTGGGGAAATGTGTGAAAGGAATTTATCAGAAGTTTCTAAATCTGTGCTGCTTAAATTTGATCAAAACTCCATTAAAAGAAAAGAAAATCTGCTGCTACCGTGTGTTAAACTGTTAAGATCACAATCTTAAACCTGATTTTGGTTACTTTTGTTGTTTTGTTGTGCGTACTTTTGTCTGTTGCTGATGTGAAATATTTGGACATGTATCAACCGCACGCCACACCACACTCACTGTATGCCCTCACTATCTTGCCCTCACTTGACTGCTTTCCCTCAAAACATTCTGTGATCCCACATATTCTTAATAAGTCTTTTTCCTTGTTTCACTCTGCAATGATCCCAGTTATAGGATTTGAAGTTTTGGTGTAAAACACTAAGATTTGTGCTTACCGTATCAGCTTCGTGCAGCTTGCCTCTGTCTTCCTTTTCTTCGAGGGAGATGCTTTGAAATGATTCAGGGGGAGTTTTCCACAGGAAATATGGTTTTCAGCAACTAAAACAAGACTGCATAATTTAGGTGCGAAACACAAGAGAAAAGAGGCAAAAAAGAAGAAAAACTGAAAAGAAAACAGAGCAGGTGTACTTAAGAATAAGATCTAAACATATATTGTGTGCATTTTTGGAAAGCTTGAATTTATTCTTTTAGTTTTAGTTCAGTTGTTTGTAAGAAACATTTAAATCTAGATGTCAAACTATCTTACTATCTTGTCTTAAAACTGTTGATGCTAGTATTGACACTAGAATGAAGGTACACACTCACTTGATGGCAGTCTCAAAGGAAGAGGGCACATTAAAGCTGTGAGATATCCACAGTATTTATACCAGAGAAGCAGACTGGCCCTCAGCAAATCAAAACACAACAAGAAAACTGCAACCAAAACTTTTACACTTTCCAAACACCGCTTTGACAACCTGAAAAAATATGTGTTTTATAGCAAGGCAGAAATAATGAAAAAGTTGTCTTGGTTCCAAAGTTCATATGGGCCCTGGGGAAATAATGACTTTTTCCACCTGAGAACGCGTTTAACGTACTTAATTAATACAGATGTTCTTTCATCAGCAGTGATGCTGTGCTTTCAGTAAACAGGTCCTTTAATTGAAGTAAGTGATCTAACCTTAACCTTAAGTCTAACCTTCCAAATCTATGATATTAAAATTAAAGTGTTGCTCTTTTTCTTCAAATGGGCTCTTTCTTTGAAGCATGAATAAAACATGCTTCAAAGAAAAATATGTATGGCACTAAATCGTAACACAAGTTATCTCAGGACATGTTTCATATAAACCAGGTCTAGACCAAAATTTGTTCTCTACTGCTTTTCAAATAAAGATGTGTCTCTCTTACTATTCAGATCAATTAAACCACATATTTTTTTTCCTGCCTTACAGACATCAGTCACAGTCACATGTTCATATTTAGTGTGTGACGGTCCTTTAAAGGGTTGCTTCACCAAAATTACAAAAAAATGTCTAAACTTACTTCTAGTAGGAATAAATTTGAGTTTCTACTGACACATCACCAGCCCAGTACAGTGGAGGTGAATGGAAATTGCTTTTGTGAGTGCTGAAAATGAAAAATGCCAGTAGTGCGTTCTCTGTCACAGAGTTCACTGTGAATAGTTTTCTGTTCTATAAAAGAAAATGTGGTTCCATTTTCTGAAGCTCTTTCTCATCAGAGAAAGATGTCGAAGAAGTAAACATTTCCTTTAGTCACTGACTTTTGTGATGTTAGCCAAGACCGCCATCTTTCTCTAAATTTATGCTCTGAGTTGCCTAAATAGAACCATAAAACTGAACTACTGTATACTGAACCATCATACCAATTTAAGCAGTGTCAGGGCAGTAATTATAATATATATATATTTATATATATATATATATTCAGAATATATTGAGCATATTGATTAAAAAAATAAAAATTGCTATGCTACAACAGGCAACCATCTGAAATAATCATTAGCAAATGTAATCATAATCAGAACTAAATTTAACAACTTTCCATTATCATTACTACCACAGTATTACACTGTTCTGCAGCAGGGGTGGATCTAGAGCGGTGGCATTGGGTGGCAGCTGCCACACCTAAAAAATTGTTTGCTGTTTGTTGTCAAATGCTGTCAAATTTAACATGTTAATTAAGATTAATTTAAAAAATAACGTGTTCACAAAACGAAATTCATTGAATGATCTGTTATGGCTCCATTTTAGACTAAGTGACTTAAGTTCAATGAAATAAAACAGCAGCTCAGAGGCAGAGTTGGTCATCCACTAATCGGAAGGTTGGCGGTTCGATCCCTGGCTCCTCTTGCTGCATGTCGAAGTGTCCTTGAGCAAGACACTGACTCCCTGTAAGTTGAGTATACTCTAAATTACTGCTTTTTCCCAAACCATACATTTTCCTCTGTGTGTTTTTTTTCTGCCTTGTGTTCATTTCAAGCTGAATGTGATCCCATTTTTCTGAACTCCTGACAATTTTGAAGATAGTGTGGGAAATAAGTTTTTCAACCATACAGACAGTAAATGCTCACTAACTAATTCAATCTGAACTCTTTAGCTGCTTAATTTGTTTGGCTTAAGTTTTGAGAAACTGTCAAACATAAGTGATGTAAGCTGGAAACAGTGCATCATTTTTGCAGCTCGGAAGTAGCTTCCATGTTGAGTACATTGGCCAACTGTATTTCACTGTGTTTTCGTGTGAACAGTGAGAGAAAGAATTTAATGACTGTACTTTCTGATCCCACAAGCACAGGATGATGAGGTGACAATTCTACTTTGATTCTCGCTGACGAGGTCATTTGACCTGCAAGTGTACTGTAAATGATGTGATTCAGAGTGAAAATCATATTGTCGATATGCCAATGATTCACTTCTTCCTTCACAAAGGTGCGGGATGTGAGGGCTTACTCAGCTGATTCTACTCAGACTGGGGAGGAGTATATGTTTCATTAGAGGTCAACCTCTGCCAGTGTCGATGACATTTTATAATGAAAGTCAAAAATGCAGAAAACAGACTTTTGTCTGCTTTTTTTTTTACATCAGGTCCTTCTGTGGTTTAAATAATGCCAAAAGCAACCGCAATTCTGAGGTTGGTATACATCTTTGCAAATTTACACTATTTATATCCACTTAAAGTAAAAAAAAAAGAAAAAAAGAAACTGCAGTCTATATAACAGCCCCGCAAAAAGTCCTACCTTTATAAAGGTCATAAACATCAGATCATTAGACCATAAGATCATTTTAGAAGATGTATTTTGGATCATTTCTCTACAGTCAAGCAATAATAAACAAGTGTTGCCTGGTTAGACAATCCTTTTAGGATTTTGCAGGCTTTTTGGTGGATTGTTGCGGCCTAAAATGTTTGTTTTCACTACAGTTTTTTTAATGTTTTTTTGTATAATTTATTAAGAATCAAAGGCAAAGGCTTGTTCCAGTGAGAATAAACTCTAACTGTTTGGACATACAGGGTAAATGTAAGACATCTGCATCTGTCTGTATGGTCTGTGTCTTCGCAACTAGAAAAAAGGAAGCAAGTTTGGTGCAAAATTGTGCAGGATTCATGAGAATTGGTTGAATTTGCATTAATTGTTGCGATTGCAACATCTCTACTTCTTCGGAGGAATGGTAAGACTCAAAATTAAGATTGCGTGGTTAACATTATGAAACGGTCACAATTTGGTTAGGTTTAGCCAGAAGAACTACTTCGCTGGGATTAGTAAATAGATTGGTAGATCGTAAGTTACATTACGCACTTGACGAAACTTAAGCACATGAATAAAACTTACTGCATTACGTAGTGAACTTACATACATTACTTACCATTAACAGTGGTCTCCTGTTTTAAAGTCCTGTGATTGACTGAGCCATCCATCCAGACTTTAAAGGTGGGCACATCCAGAAATTTCAGGAGATAAATATTGCACTCATCACTGTGTAATATATAAGAAAGTAGCACTTTATTTAGTATTTACCCCACCAGTAAATACTAAACTTGGTCAGACTGCTTTTCATTACTATCAACCATATAAATGGAATGATTTACATATGACATTAAAACTTGAAAGTGTCATCCCATGAGAGGAATGTAAACTTTTCATGTTTTTAGAGATGTGTGTGTGTTTCTGATGATGTTTATATGTGCTTGTATATGACTGAATCTTTTTTTATTACTCTCTTATCTCAGTGATTAAATGAGGTTTCAAAAAGTTGTAGTAAATCATAATCTTAGATCATCTGACTGCTCGTGTTTGTTGCACCACCCCACCTCTTTAAAGCAATGTCCACATGTTCCCAGATCTCAGCAGTTAAGTACAGTACAGTGCAGTGCTTACAGATTTTAATGTATTATTGTGTGTGTGCTGTGCATTTATAATACATATCAGCGATACAGTTAACTTCCACCAGTAGTGATGAAACTAGTAAAACCATAACGAGGCTTGGCAATTAAAACACGGAGAAATACCAGATTTAAAGCTTTCTGTAAAGTATTTGTTTTTAGATGCTTTTCAATAATGAATGTCTCATTTATGTTTTAAAGGCCACAGAAAATAATTTCCTGCTGTCAGAATGATTGTTCTGTGTAAACCCATCATCTCAGACATTTTCAGTATCAACAACCTCAAATGGTACACCAATACATTTTTTGAAGAGGAAGCATTATAGCAGCAAGCGGCGGGGAAGCCCAGTAACATGCTGTATGACATTCTAACAGGTGTAAACAGCTTGTTCTGAGGTTATTTTTTGTGTTGTCAAAGGTCATCTCACCTAACAGAATGCCACTGAGGCATAACGGAAGCCTGAGTCCTTTCGAATCTCGATTTCCTTTTGAAAGTTTTGCCATTATTATTAACCTTATTAGGTAACCTGTGTTTTCAGGACTTCATGTTGCACCTTTTTGTGCACCTCTTTTTTTCCTGCATGTGTTTCTTCTGTATATTACAACAGCTACAAATTCAATTCAATTATGCACATCAGATGCAGCAGATGCAGTAGCAAATTTGATGGAAGGCTTTATAGTTACATTTAAAGATTCCATTTTTTGCCTTATGCAATATTTAACAACTGCTTTTGCATCAATATGCAAAGAGCCAAATTCCTACCTTAAAAATGCCATCCTTACACACTTGAATTAGCACGTGTCAAAGCTTATTACTAAACTTAAATATCACTGAATCATTTTTAAACATTGCTGTGCTGAGCGGGATAACAACAGTGTTTGCCATTGCTTTGATGCATCAATTCCACGCATGCAGTCAGTTGTGATAAACAAAACTATGAACCAAATTTTATTTTTATTTTTTTTATCTGCTCCTGTCTTGCCAATGTCATTTAAATCAGATCATAGATTGTGAAACTCTGGACTGTAGTGTGACAGTCCTAAACTTTGTACACCCCCCACCCACCCTAACCACCTCCCTCCTCATGAGGCTGCCACATTACATAAATAAAGTGTTTCAAAAACACTGCATAAAACATAATCTAAAGACAGATAAGAAT